TAGCAATTAGGGTTCGAGATCGGATAAGATTTTAGTTACATGGTACAACTTTGTGAATATTAGTTTTAGGTTCATTAATAAGATGAAAGAGAAAGAGAAAGAGGTCGATGCTCACAAATGGTTTTGTAAGACAGTAACAGTAACATAGCAGGCGACTAATCGACTAAGGTATGAGATTAGGGTTAAGTACTTAGTTATATATGGTATATGTAACGCCTGTGAGTTAGGGCTATAGGTTTTAAGGGTACTTTTTACAAATGTTCATTTTAATAAAAATCATCAAATAAGATAATTGTTCGTCGTACACGTTACAAACTATATAAATACTTGGTTATTGTATATACGTATGTGGAAAAATATTATAACTATATAATATTTGTAGAAAATCTTATTCTAAATTTATCGAAGAGGGATAAAATAACGTTCATAAATAAAAGATTATTTAGGATAAATAATCTTGAAAAAAGCTATAGTGGCCTTGATTACGAACTTGTGAGTATAAAGAACGCAAAATTTTGATTTTGTATGAGAAAGTTTTGATTTTTCAAAGTTTCTCGCTCAACCTAATACATCAATGTGTGTCATAAAATATGAAATATAGATCGGTTTCTCATTAGCCAAAAAATCTAAACAAAAGTTAATGTCCTCGTAAATACAAGTATGTCGATATACAGAACGTCGAGAACGGAATTCGTATGAAGAAGTTATGAATTTCACAAACTCTTTTACATTGTAATCTTCATAGACTGTAAAATAAAAATAGAATGTGAAGTAGATATTAAAGTCTAAAGGAAAGTTGTAGTATTTGTCGATACAAAATCAAGGATATAAAGAACGTCGAAAATAGAGCTCGTATATGAGAAATATGATTTTTCGAAGTTTATGAAATTTACTTGCATATGGCGACGTAGCACCAGCCAAATCTAGCCACATGTCATGGCTAGAAGCAAGCCTTTTTGTCTACGCTAACGTGCGACGCGCCCTCCTATCAGGCCTCCTATAAATAGCAATCGAACACTCCCTCATTATTTGCTCATTTTCTCTCAAATTTTCCTCTCAAACCACTTCTCAAACCCCGGGATCCGACTCTCTGAGTCACGAGGATTTTAGCAAAGTGTTGTGGCATTGGAAAGCCCAACAAAACAAAGTATTCAGAATCAAAGTTCCGCCCGCGACTTTCCAAACTATTGCCAGAAACTCTTGTAAGTTAAGCTGCACTTACTACGTTTTTGTGTAACTTTTATTTATTTAAAATCATTATTATGAACCTATAAATAATATTTATCAGTAATTTCAGTCAAAATATTGATCAACATACTTATATGAGTGATGTTTAGGATAGATTCGTGAGACGTTTAAAGTGGATTTTTTAAACAATTCTATACCAAAGGGATCCTACCTCTAAAGTGGTATTACTTGGTCATTCCATATTTAATAGAACTCGGTAATTTTGGGGGATTATTGAAGAATTTGGGAAATAATTAATATAACCTTATAAATACGAACAGATATTGAAGCATAGTAATACTTTTATTTCGGTCGTTTAAAAGGAAAAAAGATGAAGTGTTAGCGAGGAGCTAACTTTCACGTGGATCTTCCACCTTAATCAGGTGAATGCATAGTTACTTTCACGAACATGATTTTAATACAAGTTTTTATTAAAAATACGTAGTTACATTCGTATGCATAATTTCAATAAAAAGTATTTAATATAAGTTGAAAATTTACATGTGAATTAATGCTTATTATCTGTAATATATGCTAAATGTGTATTTGGCAACGCTATATAACATATATTGTGCGAACCATATATGGTTATATATATATATATATATATATATATATATATATATATATATATATATATATATATATATATATAAGTGTATATTCGATATTATTACATGATAATCTTAATAAGAGTAGTATTACTTGAAAGATTAATGTATATTGAGTACCTGATACTCTTAAAATATATACATTGTATTATGACAAACATGGATTGATATTAAAATTTGATTATAGGGATTGTAGTTTTGGCTAGTTTTAAACTAAGAGGTATAAACGATGCTTAGTTCAAAGGAAGCTGAATAAATGTGTAGTAATCATACAAGGGATGTATGCGAGATTGGAATGGAGAGTAGAACTCTATTCCATGGCACGTTCACGTGCCGGGTTACGGGGTTTGTACTATACTTATTTGGTAAGTTGGATATTAGGTAGTCTCATTATGGGGTGTGTGTAAGATTGGAATAAAGAGTAGAGCTATGTTTCTACGACACTATTACTAGCCTAGGTACGGGTTACGTACAAGTCATCTTCCGGAGTAACATGACGACCACTGAACATTCTAGACAGTCTTGTGGAACACTAGCATGCTCATTAACTGTAGGTGTTAATGAATCATACTATCCGGGAAAAAGAATTGTGTGTTTATTCAGGTACTCCATCCTCCTCATGGTTGTCATTTATAACTTACATTGGCCAATGAATTCCCTAGTTGTTTAGTCAAACAGTTGCGTTAAACGAATAAAAAAGTAAGGTGATTCTTCCAGATGATTGTTGATTAGGATTCGTGAGAATTGACTGGGCGGGGTATGTATGGGCATATTGTCTTATAGATATCTTTGTTGGATTATATATCTATAGTGTTTGGTAACAGTTGGTTTTGTAGATTTATTGATTATGGGTTATTATTATAATAACATCATGGGATTAAAAATCCTATGTATCTCACTAGGTTTCTCAACATGATTCACTCAGTTTATATGTATCACGTGTAGCAGTGTTAAGGTTGTTGGAACTTGAATATGATGTTGAGTGATTAAAGAGAAGACCTACAATAGTTTTCATGATTGTTAGGTCTTTATGTTATAACTTATATTGTGTATTGATTATGACATCCTTAGGGTTTTATTATTTTGAAACAATCATTTTAACTCAAAATGTTTTAATATACTAAGATTTTCCGAACAAACAAAGATAGCATGGTTTTTGAAAGCGTTAAAAAAAAGTTTTTTTGGTTTTGGAAAATAGGGAATGTCACAATATAAATTTTGTTTTATTTCCAAAGCTTGTTGTTATTAAAATATAATAACATAATAAGACTAAATAAATATAAATTAAAAATATTTAAAAATATTAAATGGATTGACGGGTTGAAATCAGATAACATAATTCATTTAATTAAACATGTTAGTAGTGTTTGACTCGTTTAATCATATATGTTGAGTAGCATGTTGAGTTAGGGTAAATTTGATTAGTTTGGGTTGGGATTTTCAAATCTATATTTTCAAGCACTTATTTAAATTAGAAAATGACAAATATAACCCAATTATTATACAAGTTGCTTACAAAGTTTCTCATAAAACTATTGCCCATTACAAAATATGGAAAATACCTAAAACAATATTACTTTTCAATAAAAATATAAAATAAAATTGTGTTGTGTTGTGAAACTGCACTATTTATAGTGAAAAGAAGTTTACAAAAGTGTTTGTGAAATTGTTAATCATAATTTTTGTAATAAAAAAAAAAGTTAAGATTTTTTTGGATTTGAATATTAAAAAACCATTTTGAAACACACACTAAAAAAAATTACAAAATGAAAACAAAGTCTTAAGTTGAAAGAGATTTTAAAAAAGCTCTAGTATAAAAGTATCGAAAAGTATAATTGTTTTTAGTTCAACTATATTTGTCAATTATTAGAAAAAACTGTTATAACTTTTCTTTAGTATTTGTCTAATTTTTTAGAAAAAAAAATTAACAAGTTTAACTATAATTTAATTTAATTTTATGGTCTGATTTTAATTGCGTACATAAGTACAATTTGTTTTCATCCATGAACCCCCTTCATGTTCTGATTTGATTTCCTTGTGATCAATCCTAAACACAGCATATGTTGTATCTTTCGATTTTCATCCATGAGCTTTTGATTTTGATTTCGTCATGGGTGAACACAAGCCTTTTTCGATTTCATTCATTAGCTTTTGATTTTGTCATGGATAAAAAACACATCATTTCAATCCGGTTCTGATAAATTAAGTATCTTTAAAGGTCTAGAACGAAGAAGAAAAAGAATGACCCTTATCGTTATTATAAGTTGTTATATTTAAATAAAAATATATAACAAACAAAAATTAATCCCTATGCCCCCCCCCCCCCCCCCTCCCCCATGCCTTTCATCTTCTTCGTAAATCCACCGGAATGCTAAGAGCTTCTCCATGAACCCATAAACAAATTTTGTTGAACAAAAGCAAATCAATTTTGGTGTGTATGTTCTCATCATCGATTTGCAAGTGTGTGTTTGTGTGTGTTTGTTCATCGTTGTTTATGGTTGCGACCTACAGAAGGGAAGAACAAAGATTTGTTTTGACTTTGTCTATACAAAAGGGAACATTTGAATTTTCAGAAATAGTACACGTCCAACTTAGCTTAACAAACCATGTCAACAAGTGGTAACGGACTAAGAATGATACTAATTTTATTTATGTAAATTTCTTTCATATTTCTGGTTTTAACGTTGTAAAAATGATTTTAAAATAATATTATATTATTTTAAAAAGTTTAAAAGTTTTAATGTAATTTTTAGTTATTTTTAATGACCTAAAATTAGCCATATAAGGTTTTATTTGTCATTTCGCAAAGGGATCTTTTTTTATTTTTGACGAATGTTAAAATGGTTTCGGGAAAGGATCAAATGAGAACACTTAAAAGGTTGAGAACGCGAGAACAAGTATATTTATTTGTGATTACATATATTCATTTGTGGAGAAATAATAAATTTTTACGGACAATAAAAATGAATATGCTTTTTCTTTTCAATTGAAATTAAAGGCGTAAAAATATATCATTTCTCCATAAATGAATATATAGAATCACAAATGCATATACTTTGTTCTCGCATTCTCAACCTTTTTGGTGTTCTCATTTGATCCTACTCCAAATGGTTTCTATGTAAAGAGTTTGGATTAATGACAAAAAAGTTTTCAACTTCCAATCGTTAATATTCCAAAAGTCTAAGGTTTGGTTTGCAAATCTAACAGCAAATTGCAACTCACTCTCAAGAACCCTCATATTCTGAAAAAAAAACCAAGCTTTTATCAAACACAATTCCAAAATACACCTGACAAATTGATCAATCATCATCATCATCATCCCCGAGCTCAATTCTTGAATCCCAAACAGTTCTCTCTCTATATTCCTTCATGCCACCACCAACTATATATCTACTCCTCATATTCTCTCTCCTTATTCCGCCGCATCCAACCACCGCCGATCAATCATTCATCTCATCGCTCATAACTCAAAACGGCCTCGATTTCGTCAAGAATTTACTCATTTCGAAAGCGATTCCTACACTCACATCCACTCGGATACCCAAAATCGAAAAGACTGTTAGAATCCCTGTAATTGGTAAAGTGCATATCGTTCTATCAGACATCACTATTAATCGGGTCAATGTCGGGTTATCGAATATCAAACCCGATGCCACCGGTGTTACAATTTTCGGGTCGGATGTGACATGCGATTTGAGTACGAAATGGCATTATGCTTATGGCACTTGGGTTGGCCCAATTTCGATTTCGGATAGTGGAACTGCTCGTGTTAAGGTACAATACCATTTCAAGATTTTCTTGAAATTTTCATTTTTATATTTGCAACTATGAAAATTGGTTTCTGGGTTTTATTTTATGTGTTTGAATTCATATATTTAATTGTTTTTATTTGATGAATATTAATGTTTTCATGCTAAGGTTATTGGCATGGAAACGAGTATAAAGCTAGGGTTACATAATCAAGAAGGATCTTTAAATCTTTTTGTCATGGAATGTAATTGTCATATGAACGATATCTCTATAGACCTAAATGGAGGTGCATCTTGGCTCTATCAAGGGTATGTTAACTATGTTAAGTCAAATAGAAAACATTTTAACTTCAAAATTGACATAATTGATTTTCCATTTATCTCAATAATCAATTTTCACTACCTTATAGGGTTGTGGATGCTTTTGAAGAACCAATAAGGTCGGAAGTCTCAAAGGAAATTATCAAGAAACTAAAGGCGGGAGTTTTAAAGCTTGGATCAGTTGTGCAATCTCTTCCAAAACTAATTTCGGTTGATAATATTGCCTCGTTGAATACTACATTTGTTAACGACCCTTTTTTGAGTGACAATTCATTAGGGTTTGGGATAAATGGGTTATTTGTAGACTCTAGAAAAGGAAATTATTTATATGGGAAAAAGTTGCAACCACCGGTTTCTTGTTCGGATCCTCAAAAAATGGTTGGAATTGTGTTAGATGAAGCAGTTTTCAACTCGGGATTTGCGTTGTACTACAATGTGACTCCTCAATTCCTCTATTTATTCGTATTTTTTAATCCCGATTTGTTACATATGACAGATGAGAAGAGGTTGTACTGTGTAGGACATGTATGACATATGAGAACAGGTTATAATATGTTTGACATGCATTAGACTGAGCTTCGGACTTTTGTGGACAAAAGTTGTAACTTTTTGTCCCACCTAAAAAGATGGAACAAGGTAGGGCAGCTTTTTTGTGTAAAAAGATGTAAATACCCTCCTTATCTTTATCATCAAAAATAGTCCTAGAAAACTCGTCTTGTCACGATATTACATTCCAAGACTTCGACCAAAGTTTTTTGGGATAAATTTTTGAATTTTTGTCCCATTCAAGAAGATGATACAACTCATGTGTAAAAAGACAAGAACGCCCCCCTCATCCTCATCGTTAGATATAGCCCTAAAAAGCTTTGTCGATGTCATGAGTAACAAATGGGGCTTAAAGCCTTGCAATATTTCTTTCATTAAAATCACATAATTTAATTTAATTTTTCAGGCTATATTTATGCGATGGATTGTGGATAAAGTCCCCGAACAAAATCTTTTAAACACAGCAGGATGGAGATTTGTAGTCCCTCAACTTTACAAAAAATACCCAAATGCAGATATGAACTTGGAAATCTCTCTTTCTGATCCTCCAATTATGCATGTATCAAGCCAAATTATCGATGCAACCGTTTATGCTGATTTGATCATTGATGTTCTTCAACTAGATGACAGGATACCCGTTGCTTGTATTTCATTGGTAACCTTTTATTCAATTCCATTTTTTATAATTTTTGGATTATTTGTGTTCCCTTATTATTGTTTTTTGTTTTTACAGGAAATGGCGGGTGTGGGTTCGGTGCAAATTACCAAAAATAACCTTACGGGTCATTTGAAACTAGATGATTTCACCATGTCATTGAAATGGAGCAAGATTGGAACCTTGCACATGTTTCTAATTCAGGTAATTCGTTTAATTTGTTCTTTATTTATATTTATATTTATATTAAAAAATAATCACTTTTTGTGTGATCTTTTGTAGCCTGTGATGTGGACGATTATTGAAACGGTTTTTGTGCCTTACATAAATGCACGCCTTGGAACGGGATTTCCTTTGCCTATATTTCGTGGGATTAACCTTCAAAATGCTGAGATATTATTCAAGGATTCAAGAATCACAATTTGTAGCGACTTCAGTTATAAAGAACCTTTTGATCCTAGCCATACACTTGTTTACACTTCGTAGATCATGAAGGGAGATTCATCTTGTATAATGTTGTATTATATATGTATAGTTGTTGAGACCTCGTTTATGATTTGATCTTGTTTGTGAATTTAACTCTTTTGAATTATGAATACATGATTTTCAACCAATTGTACATACAAGGTGATTTGAGCGTAGTTTTAAACTTTTAATCTCTTTTGTTACTAGTATAAATCACAATTATCTAAAAATATATAAAAGGGTATTTTTTAAAGGGTAAATCTTAGAAAAAAAAAACAATATATTTTCATCTAATTCTGAAAAAAAGAACCGTAGAATTATCTAAAAATATATGACAGGGTACTTTTTCTAATTATACGAATGGTAGTAATCTAGTGTAAAATGGCAAATTTCCTCGATTTCATTAGACACTAGAATCGTTAATGTTTGAAAACATAGCACATTGAATCAAAATATAAAAGTAAATACAAGAACTCAATTCCAGATGTAATGACTCTAGCTGGGAAAAAAGGAAGGGGGTTGAAGGGTTCGAGAGACCCGCTAAAAGACGAGAAAGAACGAGCTTGAGTTTTGGTGATTGTGTTCATTTATTCGTTGTGGCCCTTAGTGTATTAGTATGATGTTACTTTTTACCCTTAAACGATATTTTATTTTATTGGAGGTTTTCATCGTTTTATGACATTAAGCTCCTTAATAGTGAAAAATGAAAATGATTATCAAAGACTAAAGTGAAAAATTTAGAGATTCGTGGACCTTAAAATAACATCAACCCTATAATACAATGGCACATTTTACATTGAAATCATAAAAAACAAAGTTTGATAGCTCTAGTAGGATCGAATATTCTTTAATGATTTAGGGTTGTTTGTTTAACTTTTATCGGATCCAATAAGAGATGATTGATGACTCAGTCAACAGTTAGACTGTTTGATTTTACAATTTCACATTTTTGACTGACTCGATAAGTAGTATATGATTCGGTCAGCAAAAAAAGAATGTAGACCGAAGGATGTTTGGGATTGTTTTTTGAACTTTAAAAGTACATTTAGAAAAAACTGTTTGGGATTGTTTTTTTTAACTTTAAAAGTACTTTTAGAAAAAAAGTATTTATTGACTTGTGATGGTAGCAAAAAGAGTTTAAAAATTGTTTGGATTACCTTTTGTGGTAGAAAAAAGTTTTATATTTGTGAAATGACTAAAAAAGACATGAAAAGAAAGATGGAAGAAAAAGAGAGTGAGAGTTCATTAAGGGTACGATAACCATTTCTATTTTGAAAAGCCAAAAAACTTAAAATGTCAATTGCTTTTGAAAATCTCTTTTTTTAAGCATGTCAAAAAGTCATTTTGAAAAGCACTTTTGCATGAAAAGCACTTTTGCAATGGCTAAACAGTTTTTTTTTTTTTTTTTTTTTTAACTTATTGGCTTTTTTTAAAAACCAATAAACCAACTAAGATATTTTAAAAAGCAATCACAATCACCCTTTAAGTGTTTTGTGACAAAAAATTCTCTTTTATGTCTTGATGCACCTTCAAGACGCCTTCGACATACGTCCTCATAAAATTCCCATTCCTCCCCCGCCCTCAAGCCTTGGTTCGACTTCTTGGCGGGTAGACTTCTTCCTAAGGTAAGGTCTCTAAAATAATTTTTTTCTTTTCCTTCTCTCATATGAAGTTGAAATCGATTTTGGTCTCTAAAATCGTATTTGGTATGAAGTTGAGATTAGAAATCTTTTTTCTTCGGTAAAGGTTTTCTAAAATAAATTTTGGTCACTGTAATATATGAACTTGATAATTTGATTTTTGTCATTTTAATATGAAATTGATTTCGGTCATTGTAATATGAAAGATTTTCTAAGGCCACTGTAATATGAAATCGATGTTGAAGAGCACAATTGTTTTGATTGAGTTTGAGAATTTTTTGACAGATGAAACCATGGCATTGTGGCTTCTCGAAACTAATTTTAGTGTTGTACATAACCTGTGTGACAAAAGCCCAAGTGAAATGTAACTCAGGAGTCAAAAAGCCGGAAGCAAGGTTGTATTTGGATATTAATTATGGAACTGATTGTCAATTATAATCTTCTCTAATAAATTAAGGTTTTTTTGTCACATGTCTTCTTCTTTATTTTACCACATTACTTTTTTGTTTTTTTATTTTTTTTTATTTTCCACTTGTTAATTTTTTAGGTTTTTCATTCTTACACCAAATTTTCACAGTTTATGATTATATATATATGGAAGGTTCTCATTCTATTCATTAAGGTTATCATTTTATTAATATGAAAATAAATTCACATAAATATTACAAACTCATTGATTACTTTCTTTTTTCAATTACTTTATAAAATTTTTAGTGTTTGCATATTGATATTAAACTTTTTATTTTTATAAAATACGATACAAAAGCTGTGACTTTGAAGCTCGCGAAGTGTTTGACAAAATTAGATGAGTATTTGACAAAATTAGTTATAAGATTTTGAAAGATAAAAAAAGTAGGATACTTGATATCTCCATAGACCTAAATGGAGGTGCATCTTGGCTCTATCAAGGGTATGGTAAGTCAAATAGAAAACTTTTTAACTTCAAAATCCACATAATTGATTTTTCATTTATCTCCATAATCAATTTTCATCACCTTCTAGGATTGTGGATGCTTTTGAAGAACCAAGGTCCAAAGTCTCAAAGGAAATTATCAAGAAACTAAAGGCGGGAGTTTTAATGTTTGGATATTTAATTATGGAACCGATTGTTCTGATACTGAATAATCAGTTGTAATAAAAAATGATGGAAGAGTTAGGCAATCCTTTGGAAAAATTAGTTGTAAGATTTTGAAAGGTTTAAATTTACATAAAAATATGTGGTTTTTTTAGGACAACATAGTAATTTTGTTATAACAGGCAGAAGTTTTTCTTTAAATGCCAATTGAAATAACTTTTGGATTATGAGTTTTTTTGTTCTAAAATAAAAATCTTTAAGCTCATGTTCCCAAACAAATATGTTTCTTCAAATCTAAGACTTTTTTAAGAGCTAAAAGCTCTTAAAATCCCATGGTCAAACATGTACTTAGTGTTTGAGTATATTTATGCTACTTAATGTTGTAATAATCATTTTTGATGATGTTGATTTTTGGAAAATAATTATTTTTTAAGAAAACAAACATAATAGCCTAATCCCAAAAGGACAAGGGAATGTAAGATGTAGCCAGGTATAAGTTGTAACTCTAAGGATAGAGAGACTGCTTTCAGGTTGATATATATGAAATGTGAGTCCATCAATAAAGCAAGCCGAAAGTAAAAAGGGATAAAAATATATAGGAAACTAAACATTGTACACAAGGTACAAGTGGAAAAAAAAAACTTAGATCTTTAATACTCCACTATCATGATTTTAAACCTTTACACCCTCCTATCTTAGGTTATGTCCTCACAAAACTTTTTCAAAAAAAAAATCATACACATAAGTAGATTACCCAAACACTAATCATAATCATATTATCACTCTAAAGTAATAAAGTAAAAATTATTCTTTTTGATGAATATTAATGTTTTCATGCCAATGTTATCCGCATGGAGGAAACAGGTACAAAGTTAAGATTCTGTAACCAAGAAGGATCTTTAAATTTTTTTTTCATGGAATGTAATTTTCATATGCATGATATCTCTATAGACCTAATTGGAGGTGCATCTTGGCTCTCAAGGGTATGGTAAGGCAAATAGAAAACTTTTTAACTTCAAAATCCACATAATTGATTTTTTTTGGAACGGCAAATACAAATATATATTAAACAACTCCTACATTATTTCACATATGTCCACAGTGGAACTTGAACCCTCGACCTCAATGAAGGAGGGCAACACCAAATACCGCTAGCCCTTTGGTAATTGATTTTTCATTTATCTTAATAATTAGTTTTCACTGCCTTTTAGGATTGTCGATGCTTTTGAAGAACCAATAAGGCCGGAAGTCTCAAAAGAAATTATCAAGAAACTAAAAGGGGGAGTTTTAAAGCTTGGATTTGAAGTGCAATCTCTTCCAAATTAATTTCGGTTGATAATATTGCTCGTTGCATACTACATTTGTTAATGACCCTTTTTTGAGTGACAATTCCTTGGGATTTTGGATAAATGGGTTATTTGTAGACTCTAAAAAAGAAAATCATTTGTATGGGAAAATGTTGCAACTACCGGTTTATTGTTCAGATCCTCAAAAAATAGTTGGAATTGCATTAGATGAAGCTGTTTTCAACTCGGGATTTTCCTTGTACTACAATGTGACTCCACAAATCCTTTATTTATTCGTATTCTTTAATCCCCATTTGTTACATATGGCAAATGAGAACAAGTTGTATTGTGTTTGACATGCATTGGGTTGAGAATCGGACTTTTGAGGACAAAAGTTGTAACTTTTTTGTCCTATCCAGAAAGATGGAACAAGGTGGGACAACTCGTGTGTGCAAAAGATGTAAATATCCTCCATATCTTTATCATAAAAAATAGACATTTAAAGCTTACCTTGTCATCTCATGTTGCTTTAAGACCCAAAGACTTTCTAAGACAAAATTTGTAAATTTTGTCTCCTCTAAAAAGATGGAACAAGATGAAGCACCTCATTTGTGCAAAAAGTTGTGAATACTATCCTTATCATTATCGTAAAAAATATCCCTAGAAAACTTGTCTCGTCATGACATGTCATTCCAAGACTTCGACCAATATTTTTTGGGATAAAAATTGTGACTTTTTGTCCCACTCAAAGAAGATTATACAATTCATGTGTGAAAAGATGTGAATGTCCCCTCATCTTCAGATATAACCCTAAAAGCTTTGTCATGTTATGAGTAACAAATGGGCCTTAAAGCCTTGCATCTTTCTTTCATTTAAATCACATAATTTAATTTGATTTTTCAGGCTATATTTATGCGATGGATTGTGGATAAAGTTCCTAAACAAAATCTTTTAAACACAACCAGTTGGAGATTTGTTGCCCCTCAACTTTATAAAAAAAAAAATAAAAAAAATAAAAATAAAAAAAACCCAAATGAATATATGAACTTGGAAATCTCTCTATCTGCCCCTCCAATTATGTGTGTATCAAGCTAAAATACTTTTTGCTTGTATATAATTAGTAACCTTTATTAAATTCCATTTTTATGATTTTTGAATGATTTATGTTCCCTGAATAACGTTTAGGCACTGCTGCCAAGCAGCCAGTTTGTCGTGTTATTGCATCATGCGAATAGACCCAATACCATCACCATACATAAATGCACACCTTGCAACAAGCTTTCCTTTGCCTTTATTATGTGGGATTAAACTTCAAAATGTTGAGATATTCGGATTCAAGAATCACAATCTGCAGTGAATTCAATTATAAAGAACCCTTTGATCCTAGTCGCACACTTGTTTACACTTCATAGATCATGAAGGGAGATTCAACTTGTACAATGTTGTATAATATATGTTTAGTTCTTGATACTTCATGTATGATTTAATCTTGTTCATGAATTTAACTCTTTTGAATTATGAATACACGATTTTTAACTAATTGTACATACATGTTTGGCTTCTTTTTTTCGTATGATTTAATTCGGTCAAATGCCTATGATTTGATGTCTGACCGATTGAGGATTTTTTTTCTCGTATCAACTTGAATTCAATTTTGTCTTATGAAATCTTTTTCTTTATTATGACCTTGAAACCATTTATGCCCTTTAACTTGAAATATTGTTGGAATTCCTCCGAAGTTATGAAATATGATTTCTTGAAATTGAAATGTTGCTAAAATATGATTGTATACTAAAATCTAATTTCTTATATGCTAATGTCTGATTTGTTGAACTTGTGTGTTGAAATTATGAACTTGTATGTTAAAATCTTATTTCTTAAACTTTTAATGCTGAAATTACAAACTTGTATGCTAAATTTTGATTTCTTGAACTTGTATGCTGAAGTGTTTTATATTTTTATCATTCATTTTATCCTAGACATGTCAAAAAGAGGCTTAGAGTTAGTTGGAATCAAGAATGTGTGGACAAAACTTTTCTTGAAGTATGCATACACAAAATACAACTAATGGTCAGGAAGGTTGTAGCTTGAAAGCAAACTTATGGAAGGTAGCAATGTAGAAACTAAAAGATAACATAGTTTTTAGTCGATCAAAAGCAAATGAAGAATCCATACAACCATTTAAAATCAAATTATGCGGCTGGGTTGAAAGTGATGGCCAAAACATAATTTTATTGTTGATCATTGCTTGTTTCGCAGTTCATAACTTTATAAGAAAATGAATTTTCATGATTAAATATTTATAGGCTTTGCAAAGTGGAGAAAGTGATGGCTAATACATACTAAGATGTAAAATGAGATTCACAATGCAATAAATATATGGCTACTTACATGACTAGATTACCAATCAATTATTTTCAAATGGTTCAAGTCAAATTTGTATGCAAATTATTTATGTTTAATTTGGATTTTATTTATTTATTTATTTTATAAATTATTTAGCTACTTTTTTCCAAATATTTTATCAAAAATATATATTTTATCCAACACAACAATATAACAACAGGGTAAAATAATCATTTTTATTATTCTACATGTCTCATCAAAGATGTAATAAAAACATCATGATTTCAATCGGAGCATATTCAAAAAAAAATTATTTAAACATCTAACTCAATCAACAAATATTAGATGTGTAAAAAATAAAAACTTTCTCATATCACTATGTACTTCACTGGTATTTGAGCATAGTTTTATTCTCTTTCGTTACTTGTATAAGTCACAATTATCTAAACTACTTGATATCCAAAAATCACTAACATTTTATGGGTGTCATTGATGGGTTAAACAACATAAGGTGTTCCGTGGTTCAAACAGAAACTTTAAAGGACCAAACCTACTAACCTCATATAGTTTAGGGGGTGAAAGTTCAAATACGACGAATGAGCACAGGATAACATAGGCAAAATTGCAAAAAACATCAATTCATTACACGATCCGAAAGAACAAACGGATTACAACAAAAATCCGCCTAAACCTTTCTTAAACCCTTCTTTCAAAGATAATCCACAAGAACAATGCAATTCTCCATGACAATTACAACCCCAAGCTTCCCATCTTTACCCCCATTCCACCATTCCACTTCCCATCCCCCTTCATACAAACACCCTCCTATCACAATTCTTCAAAACCCAACAAAACCCCATGACAATTCCATAAAATCCCTAAAAAATTCCGGGTTTTTATCAGCAATTGGAAACGCAATCGAAGAACAAGAGTATCGGAAAGCTAGGGCTGAGGTTATCCGAAAAGGAACAGGGTTAGAAGGTTACACAATTGAGGGTCTTTCAATCGGAGGTCATGAAACTTGTGTAATTGTTCCTGAATTGAAGTGCGCATTTGATATCGGAAGGTGTCCTGCTAGAGCAGTCGCCATGAATTTCTTGTTTATTACTCATGCTCACCTTGATCACATTGTAAGTTCTTCAATTTTTCCAATTTCGATGTTTAATTAACCAAATTTAACAAGTATTGGATTGATTAGGGTGGGCTACCCATGTATGTAGCAACTCGTGGATTGTACAGCTTGACTCCTCCTACTGTATTTGTTCCTCCTGCCATTAAAGACGATGTTGAAAATTTGATGGAGCTTCATAGGAAGATGGGAATGGTAGAGTTAAATCTTGATTTGGTTGCATTGGATGTAGGTGTGGTTTCTTTTTAGGCCTTTTTTGTATTATGACACATTAGCACTTGATAAATTTTCAAATCTTAACATTTTTTTTTTATTTGAAGGAGAAACATATGAGTTACGAAATGACCTTGTTGTACGCCCGTTTAAAACTCACCATGTGATACCCAGTCAGGTATAATTTCTTGATCTTATTTATATTGTCCCAAAAACATCATGTGAGATATAAATAGATATAAATAAGGTACACAAATCCATATTGGAATTGAATTTCTCATATTGCAAGTTGTTTGAGACTTGAACTTCATTATGTTTATTCGGTTATGTGTTATTGGTTTATGCTCTTTTGGAGTATCACTAACAATTTATGTCATTATATTGATGAATGTATGGGGTTCTAGAGAAAACAATTGACTAAAAGTGGTTGACTTTTGTGATGATCATTAGGGTTATGTTGTTTACTCGGTTCGCAAGAAGCTAAAAAAGCAATACGAACATCTAAAAGGAAGGGAGATTGAGAAAAAGAAAAAATCCGGTGTTGAGGTTTGTAGTTTTGGATTTATATTTTCCATAAACACTATTTATAGTTTTATACATTGTCACTCTTTCATAATCTCTATTTGTGATTTTAGATAACCGATATCATATTATCCCCGGAGGTGGCATTCACCGGAGATACAACTTCTGACTTTCTACTTGATCCAAGAAGTTCCGATGCCTTGAGGGCCAAAGTTCTCATAACCGAGGTGCCTTTTTTGTTAATATTGTCAGATCTGAGTGACACAATGCTAAATCTCTCAGTGGATTTTGACACTGTCTGTTACTTACAATATCCTGTTACGTATTTTTTTAATTATTGGATAGGCGACTTTTTTGGACGACAAATGCAACATCGAGCATGCACGAGAACATGGTCACATGCATATTGATGAGGTATTTGATACATTTGATATACACCTTCAAAATTTTAGGAAAAGAAAGATTTATTTTTTTATGCAAGGATTATAATTGGAGATTTAAACTTTAGATTATGGAGCATGCTAAGTGGATCCGAAACAAATCCATTCTTTTGACTCATTTTTCTTCACGTTACCATATTGAGGTAATCAAAAAACCCTCACAAGTTTTTGTTCTTTTAGAACACGACAGATAATGTTGTATTGTGTTTGACACGCATTGGATATTAATGGAACAAAAGACAAAAATGCCCTCCTCATATCTTTTTCTTTCTAGGAAATTCGTCAAGCTGTAGCAAAATTGCAATCGAAGGTTTCGGGGAAAGTTGTTCCTCTTACAGAAGGTTTTAGGTCAATGTACACATCATAAGATATAATTTTAAGTTGTCAAATTTTGTGGGATTTTTTGTTGAATCATTGTGCATATGTAAAATGTTAACTACGAACCATTGTTGAAGAAAAACATGTTTAATGGAATCAGTATCTCAACCAAAAAGTGTTGATTTAAAACTCTTATGAAATTTTTGCAAACAGAAGTGCAGCATTTGTTCCTCCAAATCCAAAAGCATTTGATAAAGCTGCTTTGATTTGCATCTTCTTTGAAGTTTTCAAAGGCATAAAAGCTTCTTCAAAAATGGGATCCGGGTTACTTATATTAAGCGACAAGGGCGCAATACCCTACAAATAAAAATAATCAACAAATTAAATAAATAACAATTGAATTTTATAATAATTAAAAAAAAAAAAGTTAAAACATAGTTAAAAGATTTTGTATTTTACTTTATGAATGGCAAGAATTGTAAATATTGCCTCAACAGCTCCAGCAGCCCCTAGAAGATGCCCAATAGCACCCTGAAATGTGTGAAAACATATTTTCTTTTTGATGATTAAATTAAAAACTTTATTAAAAATTAAAATAAGATTATTTTTACAAGTTATACCTTTGTGGATGAAAAAGCTAAGGCACCAGACATTGCATGTTTGGAAAATAACGACTTGATTGCATGGGCTTCCACCATGTCACCTAATGAATAAACAAATTGAATTTTAAATTTACTTTTTTTTTTTATATATTTATTGTAAATAAGAAGTGAATATTATATATATTATATTATAAAAGGGTATTACCAAGAGGCGTAGATGTAGCATGTGCATTCACATAGTCCACTTGATCATGGCAAATACCCGACTTTTGTTCACAAGAAAAGATAAATTAATAGTTAATAAAAAAAAAAATTTAAAAAACATATTTTTAACTTGATACCTGTTTTAAAGCACGTGACATGGCTAAAATGGCGCCTCTTCCATCTGTGTGTGGTTGTGTGATGTGATGTGCATCACCTTATAACAAGAAAGTTCATATGTAAAAAGATATAAAACATCAAGTCAAAATATGACAACCAAAAGTCAACAAAAAAGTCAAACCTGACATCCCATAACCACGAAGCTCCGCATAAATCTTTGCTCCTCTCTTTTTCGCATGTTCAAGTTCCTAACACAAAATAATGTTTACAAAATGAGGGGCAAATTCGTAAAAAATTGAAACTTTTTTCTATAAAGTCATTCTTTCTGTATTAAGTACATTATGATTACTCACTTCCAAAACAAGAACACCAGCACCTTCTCCTATTCTGCATCAAAAAAAAAAAAGAATAATTTTTCTTGCTTTTCACATAAAAAAAAAATCATATATTTAAAATTATTTACACAAATCCATCGCGATCACAATCAAAAGGGCGTGAAGCTTCTTGAGGGGTAGAATTGTATTTTGTAGATAATGCCCTTAACCTACATCAAATCGATCGATCATATTCATATCACATAAAATAAAATCCAATCCTTCTTTTATAATCCAAAATCAAGCAATCTAAATGCTAAATGTTGACCTAATTATTATTATTATTATTATTACCTACAAAATCCTGCTATAGATAAAGCATCAATGCTAGCTTCTGTTCCTCCAGCCACCATGACGTCAGCATCTCCAAACTGAATCATTCTTGCTGCGTCACCAATTGAATTTGCCCCTGTGGCACAAGCTGTTACTGCAGCATGATTTGGCCCCTAAATTCAAAGATTTTATATTGAAAATGGTAACCTAATTTTCATGAAGAAAACTTTATTTGGAATAATGATTTGATGATTTATTTACACACCTGGAAGCCATACTTCATGCTGACGTGTCCAGCTGCCATGTTGATTAAGATTCTAGGGACAAAAAAGGGACTCAGGCGTCGTAGTTTCTGAGATAAATAAAGCAATTAGGTTATGAAAAAGGGGATAAAAGTCATGGAAAATTGTAGAAGGATAAACCTTTTCGCAGATTAGTTGTGATGCATCTAGTATATCACCAATGCTTCCAATTCCTCCACCTATAGAAACACCCTGATTGATTTACGTTAGAACAAAAAAAGAAAGAAAGAAAGAAAGAAAGAAAGGGGGGAAATGAGATTATTAAGGAAGTTTACAGTTTTTTCCTTTTCATCCTGCTCAGAGGGTATCCAGTTTGCATCTTTAAGTGCTTCATCTGCAGCGCATAGGGCGTAGCTTATGAACTTTGCCATTGATTTACCATGCTGAAAATGGAAATCCCCGAAAAGAAAAATGATTATTTGATTGATTATAGTTGGATAATCATGAAAATGATACATGTTGTTGTATAATACCTTGGAATCGAGCCATAATGCTTCGTTGAATTCGCCAGGTTTAGTACCAGAAGGCACGATACCAGCCACTTTGGAAGTCAATTGATCAAATGTATACGATTGAGTGTCTCGATCGAATCCATTCATCTTTAGGTCTTCGAGAGATAAAGCTCTGATACCACTTTCCCCTTTGATTAACCGATTCCATGTAGTTTCTACTCCGCAACCCAATGGTGTAACCATTCCTAATCCTATAACAGTTTGAAAATAGCGCAGATTGAATCAAAAGAGAAAAATACAAGAACTCAGATGCAGCTAGGGAGAAGAAATTACCAGTGACAACAACTCTTCTATGAGGGAAAAAAGGAGGAGGTTTGAAGGGTTCAAGAGAGCTGCTAGAAGATGAGAAATTGCGATGAATACAGTGGCATAATTGTGCAGATTTACACCACAAACGCCTCTTCATAGCCATCAGAGGCTTTTCGCTTGGACTTTTTTTTTTTCAGGATTTCGACCAGGATGAAGAAATCTCTAAAACCCCTGACTGATTTTGCTGTTCGTGTATTTATCTTGTTGTTTGTGTCCTTGGTGTATGAATGCAATGTCAATTTTTACCCTTAACATTTCAATTGTGATATTGTTCCCCTATAGAACTTAGAAATTTTCGCTGAATGGTTCAAAAAAAAAAAAAAAAAAACTAGCGGAAATAAGATTAAACCGATTAATAGGGTAAGGAGTTAAATAAATGGTAGACAATATGGGTTTTTTTTCTTCATATATTTGGTAAACAGAAAAAAACGATGTGTTTACTAACTTTAACTTAGCTAGTCTATTTTTAAGCTAGTTTTTTTTTTTTTTTTTTTAAAAAAAACTAAATCATAAACTAATTTAATAGTATCACCAAACACGTAAAACACAACCTTAATGATATTTTTTGTACCAAAATTATATATTTTACATTGGAATCAGAGATGACAAATAGTTTTTAAAATACGACCAAATTGCCTCTAAAGACTTATTCAATCGATATACTCGGTTGACATTCACAATACATATACACCACCCCATTATTATATTTTTGTACAAGAGAAAAATAATGCAAAATCAGCATTTAAGAAAAATCTAAAAAGCAACACATGTCTCCAATGAAGATTTAGCCAACCACAACAATCCCGGATCATTCCTTTTCAATACCAAATAAGCTTCCGCTCTTCCAATCTCATCTTGAACAACATCTTCACAAAAACCAATCAAAAACAATATCTCCATTGCACCTACCACATCAAACAAATCAACTCTTAAATATATTATTATTATTATTATTAACAACAAAAACAATAATCAAGGTAGAGACTATTTCCATAACAGACCCCTGACAAAAAGCTAAACTAATACTAGCAATCAAACAAAAAAGTAAAAAGTGGAGAAAAAAAGTAGGTATATAATAATGTACTTGTGGGGTTCATATTTAGACTTTTTCTGAAAATTAAAGGGACAACTTTTGTAAATTATTTTCTACACAGGGACCAAACCTACCAACATACGAAACCATTGTGGCCAAAGTCTAAAACCAAAAAATATATTATTCATAGGCTAGTTGCTTTTATTATATATAATAATAATATGCAACTAAAGGTATATTTGGCAAAACTAAAGCTGAAACTTTTATTTGTATATAAATGTTTGAAAAAAATAGTTGTAATTAACGAGTTGTTTCTTTTTTTTTTCCATCAAGTCTGGATAAAATATTGTTTCTTTTCCGTCTGATTGAGATTAAATGACCATTTTACCCTTTGCCAAGCATACCCTAAGATCTATACGACTCTGCAAATCTAATTAAATGACCATTTTGCCCTTAAGTTCCAAATAAACAATTCTCACAAAATCCATCAATTTTGACAATATTCATGAATCTTAAACCATAAAGTCTGGATAAAGTTTTGTTTCTTTTCCATCTGATTGAGATTAAATGACCATTTTACCCTTTACCAAGCATACCCTAAGATCTATACTACTTTGCAAATCTAATTAAATGACCATTTTGCCCTTACATTCCAAATAAACAATTCTCACAAAATCCATCAATTTTTGACAATATTCATCAATCTTAACCCATAAAGTCTAGATAAAGCATTGTTTCTTTTCTGTCTGATCAAGATTAAATGACCATTTTACCCTTTACCGAGCATACCCTAAAATCTATACTACTCCACAAATCTAATTAAACGACCATTTTACCCTTACATTCCAAATAAACAATTCTCACAAAATCCATCAATTTTTGACAATATTCATCAATCTTAACCCATAAAGTCATTATGTCGAGATTAATTCCAACCCTAATTAAGTCATGCTAATAAGAGATTTGAAATCACAAAATCAATCAAGATTCAAGAGAAGATGCTCACCATTGTAATTTGCTATGTTCTTCTGGATCACAGGGTTCGCCTGCAAAAAATCAAATAATTAAATAACGAAAAAATACGAGTCTTTAATCTTTTAAAAAACTATGATTCTTGAAAATCTTATGAGAAGAGAAACCTTGCGTAATTTCTTGAACTTTATTTCATCCGGATGTTCAATAACATTCTTCACTATCTTAACCAAAGTCTGAAACACCATTGAAGCCTCTGAAGGACTAACTTCAGATTGCAGGGTCTGAATCGACTTTTTCAATCGATTACATGCCACCATTACAGGATCTTGAATTCTTTGCAGCTCTTCATCATCAGGATCTGGCTCAAATTCATTGCTTTCCATCTTCATTTCATTTTCAGAACCAAAATCCAATTTCCCCTCAATTTTTTCACAAGTTATAATAACACTGCTTTCAGACTCCATAGGTTCATTTACAATATCATCTGGATCAGGTTCTTGTTCTTGAACCACTTCATTTTCATCAGGGTCAGGTTCGTAATTTTGTTCAATGATATCAATAGAAGCATCAGGGTCAGGTTCATAATTTTTTTCAATGATAACAATAGAAGCATCAGGGTCAGGTTCGTAATTTTGTTCAATGATATCAATAGAAGCATCAGGATCTGGTTCTTGATGGGATTCAGATGTTGTTGTTGATGGATTGATGGATGTGATTACTAATCGATTATAAGCAGCAGCAACTGATGATGCTCGAGCACTTGCTAATGAACTGTTTGATGAGTTTCCTCCAAGTTTATGGGAAAATTTATTATTTTCAACATGGAAATTTGGTTCATATTGTTGATTTGTGTAGGACCCACTTAAGGTGTGACCCGTGGATCTTGTCCAGTCTAGAGAATTGGCCTCAAGGTTGAGCTGTTCATAGTGAAACAAGATTAGCAAAAAGGGTTTTGAATTTTGATTAAAAGTTTCATTTTGTAATTTATTAGATTTTTGTGTTGTTACCTGTTTATCAAGAGCATAGAATTTAGCATCATGTTCAGAGAAAACCATATGAGCCTGAAAGAAAGATGACTTTTTTAGTAAAAAAGAAAGCACCCTTTTATAAAAATGGAAGCTTGAATTGATAAAAATGCTTACAAGTTCATGTAAAAGAGTCTTTTTAATGCTTTGGTATTTTCTGAAGCCTTTCAGGTCATCAGTTCTAAGGCGCAAAGATATCTCCTCACCTTTATTCTGAAGAATAAAGATAAAAAAAAAAAAAAAAAAAAAAGTAAGAAACTGATTTTTATATTTTGTTTTTTTTTTTATAAAATTGGTGGTGAGTTTTACCTTGTTAAGACCAAGGATGCATACTGGGCTTACACCAACATAACCCTCTGGAGCCATTTCAGTCATGATTCCCACACGCCATTTATGCTTTTTTTTTTTAATAAATAAATAAGATATAAGATTATAGATTATAAAAAGTGTTTATAAAAATATAAAACAATACAACACCTTATTCATGACAGCTATAATTCCTCGATCTGCAGCAAGTGTGTGCATTAGTCTGAGTGCTTCTGAAGGTGGAGGATTTAACTACAAAACATATGTAATAATTGATATAATCATGTCAATTTTGATTAAAACTAGATGAAAGTATATGATGAAATGAATGCATAAATCATTAAATACCTTGATTCCTGGAAGATCAAGTGTTTTAAAATCACCAAAAATATAACTTCCTTGAGGAAGCTTCAATGGGGAATCAAACCCGTTTGACATTCTTTGCCTCATTCGCTTCTCTTCTTCATCAAATCCAGCTATCCTCATGTCTGCTCTAGAACTTTCTAGAACTTGATCGATCTCTTCTTTAGGCACTCCCATCATCCGTATAGGTTTCCCCTAAAAGTATAAACTAGGCGATTAAGAACAAGGGTATGTACATTTTGTTTTAGGATTAGGAGAATACACAATAGAAAGATTTGGCACCTCAAGAATGGATATTTCTTGTAAAGTGAGGTGAGAGTGTTGATCGGAAAATGGGGAGAACAGTTTTGATGATTTATGGGATTGAACAATGAGCTTCAAAGTATCTGGTTTCACTGCTGTCAATTTCTGTAATTCGTGCCCTAATTCTTCGAGAGTGGCATCTAAATTCATAGTCGCGACATAATTCTTCCCCCTCCATGTAACCGATATATCATTGGTATTTCTTTCGCGCTCCATTTTTAGTTCCTGAAAGAAGTAGATGAGTATTACTATGACTAACCAGAAACTTGAATCGGAACCCTAAATTAACAACAAGAAGTAGGTGGCTATTACTAAGTAGCATCTTCATTGATCTCGACGTTTTATCCATGTCAAAATTATATCTTAGGGCTTGAAATTGCATTGAAAGAGACTAATATTCAATCTCAACTTCATATATTGATCGACTACAAAATTAAGGCTTCGATCATCGTAAAAGCATCAAACCACACAGTACCCAGAGCATTAATCAACAGGATTATAAAATTCGGAAGCAATTCAAGGGGTAATAAGAAGGAAAAAACCGAATTCGACCATATATAAGACGAAAAACGCGAGGAAAAGAAAAGATTTTGGATAAATTACTTAGAAAGGATACCCATGTATCTAAATTGATCAAAATCTGAAAAGGAGACATATGTATATCTATGGAAGGCGTAAGAATCATGTTTTCTTCAAGACAGATAAATCAAACTGAAAAAAATCGAGCTCAGATTGAAAATTCGAGAGAATTTACCTCTAATGGGTGTACCAATCACGATGAAAACTGCGAATTGTAAGGAAAATCGTAGATTGCTAAATTTACGATGTGTTTTTGTATTTATGTGTGTGAATATGGTCGAAGGAGGAAGAAGTATGTGGCTTGATGAAGGGAGAAGTATGGATACGTAAATGCTGACGTAAGAAAGAGTAGATGGTTCCAGATGAATCGACTTTGACTTTTATTCAAACCTCCACACGGTGGTGAACTCGGTTATCTCCGGCATGTGGATTTGTAAATGTTGAAATTTTTTTAATTTTTAATTATTTAAACGTTTGTTTGCATTTTTATAATTATTTTTTGAAGTTCTTGAATATTAATTTCTAGTTATAACTTAT